AATAAGGTCTAGTTCAAAATTAATTGTGCAACAAACCAAGTGGCACCAAAGTAAATCCATCATATGAACAAGTAGAGAGGATTTGCACTGCTTCCAGAAAGAGTTTGGACTCCTGGTGGGAGCTCATTTCTGTGTGAGTGACCACAAAATAAAGCTCTTAGGTAATACAGTGATAGGTACTCAAAAATATGATAGATGGAGAACAAAGATTAGCTCTACTTTATGTACAAGTCCATTACATTCTTGATCACATACTTTAATGGCAAAGCAGCTGCAGAACTTGCAAATTACAAGCTCTAGCTTTGTTTTCAGAGCTGCTGCATAAATAGTTGTTTTTAACAACTCCAGGCAGGCACTTCTTTCCGTAAATTGTCCTAAGAGTGTGCTGTGAGTCTGCAGCAAGGAATTGTTCCCAAAAATCCAGTATCATCTAAACTGGAGAAGTGCATTATCCATCCATTTCCCTATTTGTGTTTTCCCCATGGTTCCTTGTAGCAGTTATTGTGCTGGGGTTGGAGATCACTGTGCCCAGGGCTGTTGAATGAGGTCCTCAGTGCTCATCTGCTTTTTGTCTGGAAGAGGGAAGAGCCCTCTGCAGATTCAATCTATTTCAGCTATTACCTTTCCTGCCTTTGTTAAACTGTTTTTACTGCACATTTAGATAAAGCCTGGCTGGCTACTGCCAGGAAAATTAGGTCTTCTCTTGTTTTACCATGAATTATAGAGTTCAAGATAAGGTTTGTGTTAGAAAAGTAGGGGGCAGGAATGGTCTGAATTTTACTTTCATTATAATTAGACAGGAAATTATGAAAAGGTGAAAAATAATTCACTGAAGAGCTTTCCTCTAGCAAGGTAACAAGTGCATTCTAGCACAGATGGAGTTCATGGGATATTATTGAACACTGTGGCTCTCAGTGTTTGGCTCTGCCTGGGCACAGTGAGCCTGTTTCTGTTGCACTTCATGTGTGGGCAGAAATGGGCAGGACGGGGCCCTGTGACTTCCCTTCTGTTCAACTGAGGGCCCTTTCTGCTACCAAAAAAAAATTAGGCTAAATTAGTCCGCAGTGTAACTCCATGGAAGCCGTTTGAATGACTGCAGAGATTAATTGGAATGATCAGTCACTTTCTGAGTGACTTGCAAAGGACATGAAAATATGACTAATCTAAGAATGAATTAATTGGACAGCTGTCTCACTTTCATTTGAACACTACTGAGATAAACATTTGGACTAAAAAGTTGTCCTCATTAGAACTTCTTCACTTGATGTTGATGGTGATGTTTACAACTACCATGGAACTACACAGTTTTCAGAATTTTCCTTCATGTGAAATTACTACAGTTCAGGCTTTTAAAGGCACTTTTACGGGGAGGAAAAAGGAGTGCATCAATCTTGCTTGGAGCTTCTAACTAAAGACTGTGCCAGAACCTCTCAGGTTATAATTCCTTCTGTAATAAACCTTTGGTAGTCGACTTCAGTCAAGTTTCCACCACTTCTTTCTTTTCAGCTTTGCAACCCAATTTATTTGTTTATGGTTTGCAGAAAAAGCAGAACACTGGGAGAGAAGTCTTTCCAGTGAGTTTGTGACAGAAGACCACTGAAGTTAATGAGATTCTTAGTGGGGATAAGGTTTTTGTCCATTCGGAGTCAACAGAAGCTTCAGAAGCAGTATAATGCAGGTTAAAGCTGGGAAAAGGATGTATTTCTCTGCCTTGTTAGTGGATAAGGAAGTGAGACTCCAAGGGGAATGAGTGATTTACCCATAGTCACACAGCAAATCAGCAAGAGATATGGAAATTAATGCTGAGAAGCATTTCAGTGCCTTAATCATAAAGGCAATCTTTTCCCTCAAATGCCAACACCATTAAATTTCAATAATGGAATAAGCACAAGAGTTTCATCAACTTACAGTGATGTTTCCATCAAAATATTTTAGAGAGAAGCTGGTTCCAGTGGAATGGTTGGTCAGCATTATGACCTATGTCCAGCTGCAGGGATCAGCAGTTGTAGGGACCAGGGATTGTAGATGAACTTAAGCAAATTCACCCGTGAGATTCCTTTCAGGATCACACCATGCTAAGGCTGGAAAATGCAAGGTCAAAAAGGAACTAGGTGTGTTTTATTATATTTAGCACTAATTAGTGGGCCTTGAAAAAACCGGACTGAAATATTGTCTTGTTGGGAAGCCATTAAACTGTTAGGCTGAGGGAATATATGGCTTAGAATAGGAATGATTCACATCTCTTGCCTACAAATAAATCACTTGTACCTCACATATCTATTTGACCATCTCTGAGCAGTATCAATGTGGTGCCAAGGTAGCTGCTAAGGAGAAGCACGTGTTGTATAAATTCCTAAGAGCCTGGGCCAAAGTCTGTTTTTATTTAAACTAGCTTCAATTCATTTTGTCTTAATTGAAAATAATGATGTTAGAGCAGTGATCAAAGAATTGTCTCATTAATTGTCTATTAAATCATTAGCTATTAAACAGGAATAAAAGGTTAAGAATGCAACACTCTATTCTGCCCAAAAGAATATGAATATCTCTCCAATTACAAAGAAACAATAAAAGCAGAATTAACAGTGGAAAGAAGCTTAAGATTAGGTAATTAGATCCAAAATGCCTGACAACTCTGATTAGAGGGTTTAGCAGTACAACCTATATAGAAAAGGCAGCACCAATTCAGAAGCAAAGTCAATATTGACTTTACCAAAGGGGCTTGTAAAGGGAATATGCATTTTTCTGAAAAAATATAGGCACATAAACCCTGTACTAAATTTTAACTCAGCTAATTAATTGTTATGGATTCAATCTTGCAACCAATACATATATTTGCAGTTAAAAAATTATGCCTGAACAGCATTCAGTCTGAGAGCACCTCTCAGTAATTTGTGACTGAAATTCACTAAAAGTATGCTGCAATTTTCAGAAAAATAACATTACTCCCATTTTATATCACCAGGATGAGGCAATATCTAGTCAATGAAGACCACAATCAGACCTCTTGTTTTTGTTCATTGAGTCAAAATATCAGAGAGACAGGTACCACGTCTGGGAAAGGGTCCCAGAGACATTCTCCACTGCCAGGGGGGTTTGATGCCCAAATAATTTCACAAAGCAGTCAAATAAAGACCTGATTTATACCAACTTAGTCGCTACCAAAAAAACCTGGCAAATTTATTGTGCAAATCTTATGAAACCCGTGCAGAATCTTGGCCTGTGTTTTGGTCTGCTCTATCCAGGAATGGGAGGACACTCACCAGCCTGAGGGGGTGCTTTGGAGCAGATCTAATTCCACCGAGATGGACAAAGTTTTGAAAAAGAGAAAAGGAAAGATGGTCAAAGGGCAAGAGTTTTGCTGTATTGAAGTGCATAAATCCACAACTGCAACTGGAAATCTTGTCTCTGCTCACAGAGGTCATGTCAAGACTTATTTAGTTGCCAGCTGTAGTGGACTTGTTAAATTTGGGAACCAGAACAATTTTATGTCCAGCCTTGACAGGATACCCATTAGGACAACTGCTGATTGACCAAAATGGGCTTTAAAGAGGCAGAGCTCTGAAATGCAGCATCTCTCCACAATCTGCAGATACTAATTCTACTAATCAAAGAGGAATGGGAGTATTTTTCCTGACCTTTTCCTATCTGGTTCAGCCCAGAGAGGTATTCTCTAACTAGAGCAAGTCCTAGAAATACTACAAACTCAATCAATAGAAACAAAAGTCGCCATACACCATCTTTTAGATCTGGATCTGTTTTTCTGAAGTGCAAAGAAAAGATAGTCCCAGTAATATCTTGATGATATATAACTTGTTGCTTGAGTTTATAATATGAACAAGTCACTGTTCATATTTATTAACTGATAAATAATAGCCACTAGTCAGATAATAGCTATGTGCCACCCAGCAAAAAAAAGAATAACAACATTTATCAAGACAGTTTGTTTATTTGACAACTAATTATGTTAGTCATAAAGAAAGATATTCATCCATGTTCCTCTGGTAAGGATCTTCAAAGAAATTTGGTTTCCAGAAAAAGAAAATGGGATTTTTTCTTTCCCTATCTGATATAGAAGGAAAAATATAGAACCCATAAATAATACCAAAAAAAACCCCTCATCCCATACAGAACTCACTGTAGTCAATTCTTAAGTTCATTTAAAACAAGAACATTCCCATACCACATAATAAAACAAGTTAACCTATTAAAGATATTCAAAAGTACCTCTTTTATGCCTAGAAATAATAATGAGCTAAAAGCTGAAAGCCATGCAATGGTGTCAGAAGTCAGGCAGTCAGTGTCATGATAAAGTCCATTAATGCTATTTTCATCTCAATGTCAGGGAGGCAGAGCCAGTTGAAAATAACATTTACAAAAACCCAAAGAAACAAACAAACCACAACATTGTTTAAAAGCTCCCAGCTCTTGTTTTAAGAACTTTTGCAATGTGGTTGTTATTTTCTATTCTCTGTCATGCTTCTCCAGATTTTGGCACCGTTCGGTATCTTTAATTATAAGAAACTCCTGACTGGAAACAGGTGATACAGCCAGAAGCATGGAGGAAATCACCCTGTATGCTGTTACAAAATACTACATCATTGCTGGGAAATAATGGATGCAGCAAATCCACGCAAGAACAAAGACCCCTTTGGAAAGAGTTGATCTTTCCTAAATGCAATATATCAGCTACACACTATTTCTCATCAGCACTGACTGGCCAGCAAAGAAAGACTAGGACAGCTCTTTTAGTATCCCTGGCCCTTTCTTGCACATGGAACAGACCAGCTCAAACAACTCTGCATCAGTCTGTTGAAATGTGCTAACCCTGCATGACCTCTGGAGACCCTCCCCAGTGCACAGCAGGTACCACCATCCACCACAGAAACAGCCATCCCTGTAAAACAGCTGCTTGATGGAAATCCCAAATGTGGGCCAGGTCCCAGTATGGTGGTAGTGGAGGAGAAAAGGGTGAGAACTCCATCCTCCACCTCAGATGGTGCCTTACCTTTATGACATCTTCATCAGCTGATTTGCACTCGATGGAGTCTGAAACGTCCACCACGGACCCGTCCTCCTGCACGGCAACGACCTTGACTGGAACTGACACCATTCTGCCCGTCAGAATGGCCGTGTTAAGGACCTCTGTGTCCTGCATGCACAGACAAAGGGAGGATGGGTGTTAGAGAAGCACAAAACCACGAGAATGAACCAACCCTGCCTCTGATAGGGACAGGCTCAGAGGTGGGACCCTCCCTTGCACACGCCCTTCGATCTCCCTGCAGTCAACAGTTTAGCAACTTTCTAAGCCAAAAGTTGCATGTGGACAGTCAAGTTTTGGTTTTGACGAACATGGATTTCTTCTTTTTGAGCTCATTTACAGGTTTGGCTGCAGTGGCAATGAAATCTGTGATGCAATGAGGCACAAAGGCCTGTCTGCAGCTCAGGAGAACCACAGCACTACTCGGGTAGGATCTCCAGGATGTCAGCGACTCCTCCCACCCCTTTGCCCCAAATCATACCAGCAATTTGGGAGGTGATAATCAAGCATTACAATAACAGCATTTCTTCCTCACTGTTCCAGCTGACAGTGTTGTGAGTTGACCAATATCCCTTTTCGAAACATAAAATACATGAGGAGAAAAACTCTGCCTCCATACACAGGGGTTTTTTTAATCTTTCCCCATCAAAATCCCACCTAGAGATGTTTTACCACATTTATCTCTAGTCCTGATGAATCCACAGTGCTGGCACTCTAATGACTCCATTAACACAGCCTTCCTCTGTGTCTCAGTATGGCTGCAGTTTGATTAATTACTCCAAATGAGTTGCTTCAGAGGTCCCTGCCTTGTGTAAGCAGGTATGCAGACTGGAGGGGAGCAGCTTGTCTCTGCATAAGCAGTGCTTACTGCCAGCCCAAAACTTGACACTCATGCTGGGCAAGGAATGATCTGGGATTTCACAGAGATTCATTCCGGCCGTCTCGAAAATCCTGCAATAGGAAATACTGCTTTGAATCAATCCACTTTTCATTTTTCAACTTCCATAAAACTAATTGCTTGCCAGTTGAGGGGGGGGGGGGAAAAAGTTGCTTCAAACTAATCTAACTTTAAATTCCATTATTAGAATTGGTGGAAGAAGAAATGGATTTTAGTGAAAAATTTGATGGCAGCTTGCACAGGGAGATATATTCACTATCATTTGCTCTGCTGCTAGATTGATGGAGAATAATGGGCATTGACCACAAGCTAAGGACAGCTGGAGAAGACCAATAAATACTTGCAACTAAGATGTATTATTAATCAATATTCAGAAACTTCTACAAAAAGCGCCCTGAATTAAATGAGCTGAAGTACTAATAACACTAGTGCCAGCTAACTAATAGAGTCTACCAGAGGTTTATGGCAGCCATGTTCCAGAAAAGCATTGAAGCACACACTCGAGTCCATTTCTGATCAGAACAGCACTAAGAGGACGTGCTCAACTCGACACTTAGACTTCAATGTGATTTAAGAGTCATCCTGAAAAAAAGATGCTTTTCTGAATAATACCTCATGAAATAAATATACCCTCTTTGTTCTGTTCTCTGCCAGGCACAAACCAGATGTTTCAAGCAGTAAATGACTGTCTAGTTTTTGTTTATGCTGAATGGGCTCATTTATAACCAGCTGCCATCCATGAGAGAGGGACACTGCGAAAGAGAGAAGTATGTGACAGAAGTGGAAGTGTGAAAGAACGACTGTAAAACCTTTGCAAAGACAGATCTGAAAAGGGCTAAGAAGAAAATGCATTGCCAGGTGAAAGAAAACACGTAGATGCACCTCAGGTGGAAAAAAGTTGTATAAGACAGACAAAGAGAAACTGAGGGTAATTCATCCACAAGCATGTCAGAGAAGAGATAGTTACATTTCACCAAACCACCTGCAAATATTCCATATATCCTAAGCCATCAATCCAGTATAAACATATGCCAGATATTTGATGAAGACCTGGTGGTCCTGTGTCAAAAGAGTCCCAAGGACCAGTTTGCCACTGTGTTATTTCTAAGCCATTCTCCAACAACAGACAGTCTTCTTCAGGGCATCTGAGGAAACACTATTTTGGTCAAGGTCACAAACAATGAACACGTGACTAATGCCACTTCCAAACACACTCTGTTAGCACAGCAACTCCTCCAGGTCAGGCAGGCAGCACTTGTATGCAATTACAGTCTGGTCCAAAGCCCTACCAAGTCACTGGACTTCAGTGGACTTGGAACCAGGTTCTCAACAGGCCTGAACCAACTTCTTTGGTTTTTGTGCTGTTTGCTCCGTCACCCACATGTTGACCAGCATGTGACAAAGGATAAAAAACCTCTGCCTCCTTTGAACCCTAAGTGCTGTTTAGCTACCAAAGCTAAAGTCTGACTTTGATGTGCTGAAGGATAATGCAAAGTTTATAAAGACATTTGCATTCCTTTCATAACTCCCTGTGAAGATGAGCATGAGACGAGTAAAAGCACAAGAACTGTCCTGAACCTTCTCCGTTTCCCAGTGTGTACAGGAACCCACCGTGCTAATTAGCTGGTGCTGCCTCGCAAAAACTGCACTTCACTGCAAGTAATTCCACTATAGAAATCAATATTTCAGATGCCTGATGCCTGGAGTGAGTGTTACACAAATATAATAGGCTGTAAAGACCTTTTAAAGAGCCAGCTATTTAGAGACTGAAAAAATATATTTCCTCTGAGGAAGAAATATGAACTAATTGACTGTCCATTAGATTTATAAACAGACTTTTTAGTGCATCTTCAACAAGTAAAGCATTTCATCTAAATTCTGTTAGGCTTGGTCTGTATTTCCATAGTAGGGTTTACTGCAGGAAAAAAAGTTACTGAACTTTAGATACCTGTACTGGTCATTACTAACAGCATCTCAAATGCAGGGTGGGGATTTACACAGGTATGTCCTCCCATGTTGGCACAGCATAAGTGAAACATCAGGAACTACAACCAGGAACCACCAGCACAAACCTCCAATTGTGGACACTTCAAGGTCCCAGGTGGAAAACTGGGAATCCTTCCCCATTTCTATCGTTGAAGGTTTCAGCTGCCAGATCTTGACCAAAACCTTCAACTCAGCAGGCTGGGTGGAAGCTACACACTCATATCACAGGCTCTATCCATGAATAATAATAATGTGCGTGTTTATCTCCAGCTCTTTCTTGGTACCTGAATGCATAAGCACCTCAGCAGAGCTCTTCTTAATTACAACTGTAACCTGCTAATAGCATTTCTTTGTTGTCTGAAGGAATCTACTTCTTATGCAGGCTAGGCTAAATTAAAATTTAATACAACATCAGGTCGCAACAGAACTAGGAAGCAAATGACAGCTGTTTAATTAAAACCTAAAGCTGATTAGATGGCACTACTGAGAGAAATACTCAAGAGGAAGAGCTGAAAACCACTGAAACTCTAGGCCAGGATAATGGCTTTATTTAAATATGAATAAAAGGTGCACACAGCCATAGTAAATGTTTGACAACTGGCTGCTTCGGACAAATGGGGGGAAATGTGAACAGCAGATGTGTCAAAAGTCTTGATAGAGCTCTGACTGCAAACACTGCTGTTACCTGTGGATGTGACCAGAAGCAGGGATTACTGAGGAATGACTCCGACAGGTACAAACCAACTGAGGAACTCCAGGCACAAAGTTCCCAATTACACTTTAAACAACACCCTGGTGACCTAAATCCTCCTTAGACAGGTGACTCTAGAGCAGCTCACCCACCTCCCATAAACCCACACGATGCAGCTTTTACCCCCTCTTTTGGCTGCAAAATAAAGGCACGGAGAAATAGATCACACATCTCACAAGAAAGCATCTCAAGAGCCAGGAGCTGGACACAAGTTACCTAGATCCCAGCCCAAAGCCAGCAGTGCATGATTCCCGCCCCTCTGGGAGCAGCCGGCATCCTTCCCACAAAGTCTGGCGAGGCACAGAGGTCCCACACTGACCCAGTTTGCTGTGACATGTATCATCCTTCTGATTAATGCACGAGCTGGTCGTGTTTTTTTTAGAGGTTAACAAAACCTGCTACAGTACAGTAAACCCAATAAACACTCAATTGTAAATCAGAAGGGAAACCTAAAGCCAGCCCTATTCCACTGACAAATGCTACAGCTAAATGCCTTTTGGCATTTAGCTGAAATGACTGTCTTTAGTGAAGAAGGCAGAGAGCTGGAACATTTGTCTGTAGAATTGCATTCCTTCATTATTATGTCTTTCCCTAGAGTGTACCTCACAAAAATACATTTGTAATATTAGAAGGAAACTTTAGGAACCAGTTCTTCTGCCTGGAAACGGCATCTCTTAAAAAAAATGTAAATTACAGGGCAGATTGTGGGCTGGGTTAGGGGAGGCTCTTTTGTTTGATAAATTATTCACCACCTTTTTCTTCAGATCAAAGAGCAAGGCAATACAAATCCATTAAGTAAGCTTAATATATAAATTAGGTGCTTTGCTGAAATTATTGTAATCCAAAGCAATTCTGTACTTTCCCCACCTCATGGCTGAATACCATTTTAGGTTTTCCATACATATTAATGAAGCATGGCTGTGAGAAAGCTATCTATATTTTCCATTATAGCAGGTAAGATATGCCATTTTGTCACCCAATGGTGAGAACAAACAACTGAGATTACGTGTGTACGAAACAATAGAAAACATAAACAATCTTGCAAAGAGCTGATGCTGTTCTTTGACCCTTTTTCCTTCTTCTTTTCCTTTTCTTCCTCTCTCCTAATAAAAGGCTACTTCCTTGCATCATCATTTCAGTGGAGCCACTTGTGGAATCAACTCTTACCAAGTTTTCAGGTGTCAGCATGGGTCCCCCTGCCCTGACAAGCCAGAAGGTCATTCCCACTCCTCTACAACATTTTTCTGTTTCTGGCTGTTTCCTCCTTTCAGCCTCTTGCCCAGCATATCACTGTTAGAAGGGATCAGTTACAACAGATGGCAAATCACAAATACTTCAGGCTATTGTGTCAAAGTTAAAGGTCATCCTTTATCTCCTTTGTTTACCTGCATAATAGCTTTATTTCAAATGGGCATCCCAAAGGAAGAACAGGCAGGTGCATATATTCTGCAGGAGAAATTAATTAATGCAGATTGAACCATACACAGGGGTTCCCAATCACTGGTTCTTACCCAACAATGTTAGCAGCAACCATGAGCCTAATTGAATATTATTCTAGATGTGTATCGGCGTGTGCTGCAAAACCAATTTGCTGTAGCACAAAAACCCATGATCCAGAGACTCCAAAGTGGAATCTTATTTCATAACTTGTCTTTTTGCCACAGATACACTGAAGGAAGATCTTATCTTAACAGAGTATACCTGGCACACGCAGTCAGCTGGAGTGGTAACTCTGTTCATGGAAACTAAAAGCTGAGATTTATTCCATTTTGTGGTTTTTTTATGAAGGAAATTCAGCTCATTTTGAGGTTTATGTAGGATGAATAAGCAAAACCTGCTGCTGAAGGTGAAACCTGATTAGACTCACAGATACTGTCATATCTGTGACCTGAGGCAGTTTTATTTTATTTTTGATAACTCAGAACAGATCTGCCCCCATTAAGCAAAGGTTCAGAACACAGCCTGGTGCACTTGGCAGAAGTAATTGCATCCTGCCAGGCAGTCTCCACTGTCTCAGCTAAGTACCAGTGCCTTCTGCATGAGCAAAAGACCTTTCCTGAGACTGGGCTCCTGCTATTTCCCTTCATTATATCCCAGTAGAGTTTATTCACCAAACCTGCTGCATTAGACATTGTGACACCATTGCTCTGAAGTGCATACCTGAGGTAGAAGGAGCTGGAAAGCAACTATCATGCATCTAATTTTAGTTTTGTGCACAGAGAACAGACACCAAGAGCTCCTGAGCCATGTTTCAGGACTTTTAGTACACCAAGAATTACAGGACCAAAAGTTTGGTGAACTCTGCCAGTGATTCATGCTGGAGTTTACACTGTATTTAGAAATCTGTGCAGTGTCTCAGCATTCATCTGACAGACTTGAGCCAGTTCTTCTCAACAGTGAATGACTGATAACCATTATAAAACATATTTAAAACTCCACAGTTCATTTAAAGATACTGGTTTTTTCCATTTTTATTCCAGAAAAACCTAATCACGTTCTGACTTAGTAAAACTGTGGGTCACCTCCAACTGAAATCAAACAATATCCCCCCATATGCAAGTGAACACAAGAGCAGTGAGCCTCAGTTCAAACTGATGCACTAATGATTGTTTTCAAATGGCCATGAA